GAGGAAGACTAGACCTCACTAAAAATGAGGTCAACAAGATGTTATTTTATAGTAAAGTCACTTGTTTAATATAAGACCCAATTATTTCTATGTCCTTTCATCATGAGTCGTCACCCTGCCTCAAAGGTCATACAAACTATCTATAAAATTTGGTCTTCCCCAACATAACAATTATCGATTCCCATCCCTGATACCCATGGTTCCCTAATGTTCTATGACTACCTAATCCCAACGGTTCTCGGAGTTTTGTTATCACATAAATATCAGGAGTCGGGAGTACTACATCCCTACATAATGTTATTGCAAACACTCATGTAATAGTCTACCCATATATTCATTGTGACATCTAAATCTTCATTCCTATATCAAACATTTATAGGGCATTACATATATCATAGCTAAGAAACATAATAAATGAATCTCTGCCGAGAATTCATAGCATAAGCATAGTCATATGTAGCATAGTCTGATCATATCATTACATGTATCGTAAGAAAAGTAAATGTACATTCATACATTTAATTGCAGTTATTTATTCACAATATGTAGAAATTTTAAACGCATCCGTGTCAATATAGAAATCATAGACAAACCTTCAAAATATTATTATTCTTAAATTAACACAAGGTTGTTTCACCTGATATCATGGAGCAGTCCTATTACGAATGCCTACACGCTTTTCTCGAGCTCGCCGCCTCATATAGATAACCTGCGAATTTATAAGCATCATAGGAATTCATAAAATTTGAACTCTCATCATGCCTAACCCAAAAACAAGCAATAAATGCTAAAACCCACGTTAGCATAAAATTGCTTTTCCAAAAATACATATTTCTTTTTTTCTCCTTTCACTCAACTCAAACCTTACTTCTCATTGATTTCATGCTAAAACATTTTTAGAAGCTCGTTAATCAATTGCTACACATCCAGTACAAAATCAGCGTCTCCAACAGCTTCTGGAAATGCGAAAAACACGAAAAACGAGGCAAATCTCAAAATGGAAGGTGAGGTAGATAATGAAAGTCTCAAATGACGTGAGAGAGAGATTCACACTTACAGAAATTGTCCCTGCTTGCGACCAGCTGCAGTGCCTGATCGCGTAGGAGCTTGTAGGAACATCCCCAGACGAGCAAGGAAGCTATCACGTGAGGGAAATCAAGTGAGGTAGCAGGAATTCGGGAGGGAGGGGAAGAATACGAAGGCTCTTAAGGAAATACGATGCATCCAACAAATCAAATAGCGTGAGGCGGTGGGGAACAACAAGGTCACGGGAGATTATGGAGATTAGGGAATATAATTAAGATTTAATTAAGATAATAAAACTTATAAAAAAATTAAATATCTTCCAATCCATTCAAAATTCATGCATAGTGCTTTTTATGGAATTGATCGATTTCATGCATAGAATTTAATAAAATTATTTCGATTGATATTTGCGAGATGAAAAATTTGGGGCACTTTTCAATTTTGCCAAATTTTACCTGTTTTTTGAAATTTGGGTTATACATAGTAGATTTGGGTTACTTAGCACTACTATAAAAATCATAGGCATCTTATCTCGTTTCTCTCTTATTTTTGTTCCATTGATTGCTTTTTCTTTGCCTCATTGAAAATTCTTCAAGGATTTCGTGTTTACTCTGTCTTTCTTCATTAATTGTTTTGAGTAGTCCCCATTACCACCTCGGCTCTACTTGTTCTACCGTTGACATCGAGTGCTTAGATTCATTTAGGTAAAATAAATGTAATTATGTATGACTTCGAGCTTAGATGATTGTACATTACTGTGTATTGCTCTAGAATGAATTATTTTTCCATAGAACACATGTATATTGTTTGTAACAACCTACAATTCTATATGTTTAGAGATATATACAAAGTTGTGTACAACTTTAGGATAAAATAAATTGCCATAAAGCATCTATACATGGCTGTGTACAATGCTTATTCTGAATTTAGAGAGCTAGACGTTACCATGTATAAAATACTTAAAATAAAATAACTTGTTATTGAACACTTAAATATGGATGTATACAACCTTTTTTTTTTTAGTTTAGTTGGCTATGCATAACATTTACTTTGAATTAAAGGGTCATACATAACTCTTTACAATTTTTAAAGTAAAAGCTTTTGCCATATATGTTTCATGGATACAGCACAAGGCAACAGACATGATATGACATAGACACGCGACACTTTTATTGTTGAAAATATAGGACACATACATGCATCAAATACATTTTTAGAATAAAATTATTAAACTATATATAAAAATTAAATAAACAAAATATTAAGAATAATACAAAAGAGAAATAATAAATTTAATAACATTAACTTTTAAAAATATTAAGTTAACATTAACTTTCAATTTAATGGATGACAAGATAAATCTATATTTTAAATAAAAAAATAAATAATTTCATTAATTTTAATTATAAAAAATATATAAATTGTATATTCTTATTTTTAATAAAAATTAAAGAAAAACTAATTCACTGGAAATGGATGTGTATCTCCCTTTTTTTAATATAATTTAGATCAAACACCTTCCGCCTTGTTCGACACATGTCCAATATATGTCAGGCACATATCCATATTTTGAGCTTGTCTAACACTACATGACTTCTCAATCGGGAGAGTTCTTGTATCATAAATTGTCATAAATAGTCTATATAACATTGTTTAGTCTTCACTTTGAGCTTAAAAGATTTTTTATAATTATGCACAATAGAAGAACTTATTCAAAACTGCTTAGAACCTTTTGAGTTTAGAGGGATGTACATGTGAAACACATGAAGTAGAATGAAGTGGAACTCTTAAACATCGAGACACCTTTTGGTGCAAGAGTTATAGTTTCGATAGAAACTCCCTAGTTAAGTGTGCTTGCAGGAAGTACTTCTGGGATGAGTTACTTCTTGGGAAGTTACACTTATGGGACAAAACTGTGAGATTATTAGACCAAAGTGGACAATATCTTGATGGGTGAGAGTTTGGGCTGTTACGAATGGTATCAGAGCATTAATCCGGCCTCAACATGAGAATTAAGTGTCATATATAACAAAATGCTATGCTAGTGAACCACCTTTTAAATTTAAGACGGGTCAAAGTGCTACATGGTGGGAATCACCTATTGAATTTTTAGAAGCCACCTCTAAAATTCTATCTGCCAGGTGGATGATTCTGGGCTAACCACACTGACGAGAGCGTTAGTTACTTAAGTGAAGAGATTGTGAAACCTCTTAAATAGAACATAACCCTTAAATATCGATGTGCCTTTTAGTAACGGTTGAAGTTTCAATAGAAATTCAAAGTTAAGCGTGTTCACATTGGAGCACTCCAAGGATGTTTGATCTCTTTGGAAGTCATTGGGCCAAAGTGGGCATTATCTCGATGGTTATGTTACATTGTACACTATGCATAGTCCTTTGAGTTTGTATTGTTGTGAATAACTCTATGGAACTTCTAATGAAATTAGTCGCTATAAAGTGCCCATACAACACTATGTACAACCCTTAGAATTTACAGGGTTGTATACAAATGTGTACTGATCTTTTAATCAAATGAATTGCCATGAAACATTTTGAGCTAATTGTTTAAAATCCTTATTTCAAGTATAGAGAGTTGAGCACAACTACTTATAACACCTGGAATGAAATGAGTTTACATAGAACACATGTATGCAACTGTATAAAACTCTTAATTTAAATTTTTAGGGTTACACATAGCAGTGTAGAAATGCCTGAACAGAATGAATTTCCATAAATCATCTCAACAGATGAGTACAACTTTTACTTTGTGGTTAAAGGTTAGTACACAACAGAGCATAACTTTTAAAATAAAATAAAATAGCCTAAAATTACTTCTAAGTCGCTTTCCTTGAGTTTAAAGTGTAGCAAGCAACTGTATGACACCTAGAATGAAATAAATTGCTACAAAACGCCTCTGCTCAGTTTATTTATTTATTTATTTATTTTTTTATATGAAGTATCTACACAGTTATTTACAACCTTTATTTTGTGTTTACAAATTTATACACAGATATGTAAAGACTATAATCTCTTTTAAAAACTTTCATATTTGTTTATGGCTATTTTTTTTTGACATTGTTTTCATTTTTTCCTTGTACATTATTGAAAACATTGAATTTATCTCTCTCTCTCTCTTAGTTTTTGATTGTATAAATCTGTTTTTATTTTTGATTGTTGGCCTGTTCTGTCATTTAATTATTTTATCCCCAGTACAAAAAATTTATTGTTCCTGACTATAAAGGATGGAAGCAATCTATTAAATCACCTTTTTCTTAGTGGGAACATATCATAAATGAAGGAGCATGCATTTATATGGAAGCTGTAAAATGCTGGAAGGACTGTACAACAACAAATTGGTGGTTGTTAATAGGTGGCAAACATTAGTTAAGAAAAGTTTTAGGTTTTAAACTACAATAGCAGAGGTTGATTAAAAAATGTTTTTGGTAGAAGCTCATGGTTAAAATTTCAAAATCTTCAATCTATGTTGAAATCTTCTTTCATTACAATTTTTTTTTTTTATAGAAAACTTGGATATTCTGTTTTATTTAAATAAGCCTTGTTCCTTCTAACTTTGTTGAAGAAATCTCAAGTAGTCGTGACGCTCTGATTGTGGTTTAATGCTATGTGTTTCTCTTCCTATGAAGAAGACAAAATGTGAGAAATTTAATTAAAAAAAAAACTTATTTTTGAACTTTGGGCTGGTTTGGGTTTTGTGAAAGAAAGATTAAAAGTATTGCTTTACAGCTATCTCGCTTTCATCGTTCTCCATACGTAGAGCTATGTCCATTATTTTCACATAATAATTTCTTGTGTTGTAGAGCTAATCCTAAGACTTCGTGAATTCTTCCTGTAGAAGTTTGATTATTTGACTTGTATCAGGCATGAATTCATCTGGTGCATTTGTTTCCCGTTCATTCTGTTTTCCCAATTCTATTCTTAGTACAACAGGTAATATTTTTCTTTTTTGGTTTATAGGTCATGTACAGCTCAGATGGTTTTGCATTTCCTGAATTATATTACTTAGGTATGTTGGCAATATTTACAACTTGTTATCTTTTAAAAAGTCTTTTTCCTGCTTATACTTTGTATTTGGAATTTCCTGAAGATTTATTACCTTGTTCGGCTCAATATAACATAACTTATTTCTAATGTAAGGTGAAACCCATCTTTTAATGGTGTTTCATACTATATATGTGTTCTTAAATGGATTTTTGTAATGTGTTACAAATTTTTTGGGAAATTGATTGACGTTGGGCCTATGGAGGACCGGCCTAGCTGGACCGGCAAGTCCTCAGGGGAGAGGCTTCCGACCCTGCACCTCCCCCTTTTCTTTCTTTTCTGCTCACTCTTTCTTTCATAGTACTTTCCTGTTATAAGTCCTACCAATTCTAAATTCTAATTTATTTTACTCTATCTTGCCTAATCTGAAGTTCTATTAGTTTATTATTCCTTGCCTAATTTGAATTCTTATTATTTTTATTCTTCTTTCTTATTTTAAACGTTGCCTAAAATAAGTCCTAGTCCTCGTTATAAATAGGGGGTGTTATGCTTAGAGTTTTTCAGTCTTTGATGTGTGCTTTTAAATTTCCTGTGTGAAGTCCTTTTCACTTTTGTAGGGTTGTATCTGAAGAGGAGGTGGTGCTTCGGCTTTATCCTCCTAGGTGGTGTTGTATCTTCCCTTTTCATCTTCTCTAACCCTTCTACTCCACTATCTTTAGCCGCCGACCACTCTAATCCTTCCCCCACTTCCTTCCCCTGCCTCGACAGATCGCCTTTCCTCCCTGCCCCGGCAAGTTGCACTCTGCTCCCTGCTCCCGCCCATGAGTCCTCCCTGCCCCAACAGGCCGCCTTTTGCTCCTTGCCCCTACAAGCCTAGGGCTGTAAACGAGTCGAGCTTGAGCGAGCTCAGGCTTGGCTCATGTTCGGCTTGTTCGAAATAGCTCGTGTTCAAAATCGGCTCGTGTTTGAAATTGGCTCGTGAACAGTGTGTTCGTATTCGGCTCGATTTAAATATTCGTGTCCGTGTTCGGCTCGAAATTGACTAATTAAAATTAAACTGAGACAATAATTGTAAAGTGTGGGATTCAAACTTGGACTAAATATATACAAAAAAAACATTAACCACATTATCACACGAGATGTTATGATTTAAACTTAAATATAAATATATATAATATATTATTATATAAATAATTATATGATTTTTTTCGAGCTAAAACGAGCTGAACACGAGTGAACAAAGAGCTGTTCGTGTTCGGCTTGTTTTTAATTCGAGCTTTAAAAACTTGTTCGTGTTCGACTCGTTTACTTAACGAACGAGCCTTTTTCAGGTTAGACTGACCATATTGTTGTTCGTGTTCCCACCTTTTTCAGGTTCTTTCAAATACTCTTTCGGGATCGTTATATTTCCACTTTTGAAATTCTTCTCAAGCCAATCCTTGAAGCTAAAGCAGTTTTCTATGGTGTGGCCGAGCAACCGGTGGTATGGGCAATATTGGGGATGATCCTCCCTATCGATCTCGTCTGGCTTTCTCGGGTTTGGCAGACTAAATCCTTGTTCCTTTAGCAATTCATGAAACATCTTCGACACAGTTTCCTCTTTGAAGAAATACATCACTTTCTGTCGTTCTGCCAAGGATATCCTCTTATTCTCTGGTCGGTATGATCCTCCTTGAGACAGTTGCTGGCTAGACTGACCATATTGTTGTGTCTGTTGTTGGCGGGATTGTCGAGGCTGTTTGGCTTTCAAAATTTCTTGGTCGCGCCTCCTCTCCTGTGCCTTTATCAGTTGTGCAGGCTTCGAATTGGACCCAATCTCGAATCCAGAAAGCAGTGGGGCACAAGCTTCAACTGACTCTTCCTCGTGTGGAATTTCTTTTCTCTTACTCGGCAAAACTGTTGGCACGGTGACAGTGTATCCGGTAGTAGGAGAGCAAATAGTTCTCGGAGAAATCTCAACGCTCCCAACGACAGACTTTTCAACACTAGTAGGGCTCTTTTCAATCAACACCTTTGAATGGGAGAATTCCTTAGCAGGTTTCAAATTGAATTCTACAATAGGCTCCACGGACTTGTCTGTTTCAAACTTCATCACTGTGACGACAACCTTTCCAAACTTGACTCCAATATCGGCGAACCCTTGTCCAAACTTAATAACTGCCAGGTCAGGCAGTTCATCCCTGTTGACAGCGAACTCTCCACGGACTTATTTGTTTCAAAATTCATCACTGTGACGGCCACCTTCCCGAACTTAACTCCAATATCATCGAACCCTTGTCCAAATTTAATAACTACCAGTTCAGGTATTTCATCTCTATTGACAGTGAACTCCATTCCAGAGGCAAAAGAAAATATTAAACTTAGCAAAGACATTGTCCCTGTCATTTGAAGAATTTTCGAAAGTCAGTGATGTCCCGTGTCTTGCAGTTTCGACAGAAGTACTCAAATTGACGCACTTGTCTTATGAACTGGGCATATCCTTTATTATTTTAATTTTCAAATTTATTAATTACTTGTGATTAAAGCATTGAAGAGTTGGAATTAACAAATTAAACGAGCGCGAAGAGACGCAAAAACTTGGCTTGATTCACAGAAAAGCAAACCAAACACGAATGAGACGAAGAAATGCAAAGTTTAGGACCCAGTGCGGGACCAACTTCACAACACACAACGCACAACGCCCAAGCGGAACTAGTCCACCAACACACCTATTGGGGGTCCGACCCCACACGAAAATTAAGTCCTAATGAACTCCTAATGGCCTCCGCAACCTCTCTGTTCGAAGGTGATTGAACAGACGGTCCTGAAGTCCAAAGGAGTTGACCATACTTACCAAAGAAATAAATGAGCGAAGCATGTTAATGGAAGAAGGGCCATAATGGACATGGACAAATTACCGATGTATGAAGATAAGATTCCCTGATCTAAATGGAGAGAGAAATTATTCACCAACGGAGTCACCAGAAGCTGTCAGTCTCCAATTTCTGTCGGCACTAAAGAGGAGGTTGTTTGGGGGTCGTCCGTAAAAAGCTGTCGGCAGCCGAAATTGAAATCCCATCGCCCACTTCGGAAAGACGTTTTAATTTACGTATATATATATATATATATATATATTTTTAGAAAAATATAAAAACAAA